CTGCCCCATGAGCCCGGGACATGCTACGGGGCCCCCACCAGGCGTGGCCTGCACTCAGCTCTTCCTGAGGCGGCCGCTGCCTCCGACAGCTGTCTCTGCCCTCCAGGGCGTCGGCACCACCTGAGGGCCTGTAGCGCGGTGCTGCTGGCTTCAGGGGATGGGACTGGTCAGCGGGACGGCCTCACGGGGCAGGTGCGGGGTCTGGGAGAACGGCAGTGCCTGTGCTGCGTGGCCTCCGGGCGAGGTGGGCTGCAGCGCAGCGGTCAGCCGGCTCTGCTCCCCAGGTCACCAAGATCTTCCAGAAGAAGAAGAACTCGGTGACGTACAGCTTCCGGCAGTCCTTCTCCCTGTACGGCATGCAGGTCCTGCTCTTCGAGAACCAGCGTGAGTGGGCGTGGCCCGGCACCCCCACCCACCCCACCTGTCACCGTCAGCACAGGATGGGGCCTCAAAGCCGCGACAGACACGCACAGCGACGCTCACAGACAGCAGTGCACCACGCACGGGCAGATCTGCTCCCGAGTTAGGGGAGGGCTTGTGGAATTTGGCGGGAAAGCTCGACAGGCGTCCCTCACAGACAGGCGGCGGTGTGCGCGTGAGCTGGGGGGTACCGCGTAAAGACAGAGACGGTGGCCAGGTGACATGCAGGTTACCGCTGCCAGGATGGTGGGGAGAAGCGGGAGGGGAGAGGGCAGGGGCAAGTGCAGGTGCAGGCAGGGGTGAGTCACTAGATGCTGAGCCTGCCCAGGCCTGGTCCATGAGCCGTCTACCTGCTCACTGAGCCTACAGAGTGGGGTGCAGTTGTGCCACAGCTGGGGTGAGGCCTCGGCGGGCTGCTAGAGCACAGGGCAGGCTCAGTGAGGTGCTCCCGTGTGGCTGCTAGGGGACTGGGGCTTCCAGACTCCTCGGCTGGAGCAGGCTGGAGGAAGCCCCTCGTGCCAGGAGCACCCCCATGACCTTGGTCCTCCTGGCTACACACCCCCTGCCCTCTCCCCGGGCACAGTGCACATGCAGGGACGCAGACACAGGGACGGGCACAGGGCACGTGCGGGGACAGGGACGGGCACAGGGCATGTGCGTGCATGCATACATGCACAGCACAGGGCACGTGTGGGCACGCACCACAGGCCCACACTGCTCACCACCCCATGGTCTGAGCGGGGGTGTGGAGGCAGCCAACGACTTTCAGCACCTGGGGCAGCTGGGGCTCAGCCATGGCCCCTGCGGGTCTGGGAGGACAGCACTCGGCTGTCGTCTGGAGCTGCCCGAGGTGCCACCTGGCTCAGGCCGCCCCGGCCTCCATGACCACACACCTACACCCATGGAGGCACCGAGGCCCTCAGAGCAGAGGGCCAGGTCCACAACCTCTGGGCTAGGGAAGAGTGAGGCTCCTGGGGGCAGCCCCTGGCTCTGGTCAGAGCCGAGGCAGTCACGTGGGCCCCGTCTGTCACGGCCCAGCCTGGGCCTGGGGTTCTTCTGCCCCTTCTGCCGTACATCAAGCCTCCTCAGTGCTGTCTCAACCAGAGGGGAGATCGCAGAGATACACTGAGCCCCAGGCTCTCCCCTCCTCTCCCGTGCAGACTACCCCAACGGCATCCGGCTCACGTCGGCCGTGCCCGGAGCAGACGTCAAAGTGTTAATCAATTTCAACGCCCCCAACCCTCAAGACCGGAAAAAGTTCACCGATGACCTGCGGGAGTCTGTGGCAGAAGTGCAAGAGATGGAGAAACACAGGATCGAGTGTGAGCTGCAGCCCTGGGGGGGACGGGAGTCTGTGGCACTGGTGCAGACGGAGAAGCGCAGGATCGAGCGTGAGCTGCGGCCCTGGGGCCACGGGGCAGCCATGGCGGGTGGAGGCAGGAGATGCAGTGATCCCTCCTAAGAGGGGACGTGCCCAGTTCTCCTTCCCTGTAGCCGTGGGACGGGGCAGCCACGTGCCCAGACCACAGGTGGCAGAGATGGATGGAGTGGGTGAGGCCTCTGCCCACCATGGACGGGGCTCCCAGGGCCAAGCACCTCACCCCGCTAACTCTGCCACGGCTGAGCCCACCCCTGGTGCTGGCCTTCCTGAGCCAAGGCGCACGGTGTCTGCCCTTGCCCCTCTGCAGAAGGGCCTGGCACATGCCTGCTCGCTATGGGGAGGTCACGTGAACCGGGAATGTGTCTGCTCTCTGCCCCCCACCCCCAGGGCATCCCTCCTAGATACATAGTGCTGGTGACAGCGCCAACCTGAGGGCCGTGGTCCTGCCCTCCACCCGGGCTGGGCGCTCGCCGGGGCCGAGCTCCTCACAGGCCTTTGCCGTTTCTGTTCCAGCGGAGCTCGAGAAGCAGAAGGGGGTCGTGCGGCCCAGCATGTCCCAGTGCTCCAGCCTCAAGAAGGAGCCGGGCAGCGGGACGCTGAGCCGGGCCTGCCTGGATGACAGCTACGCTGGCAGCGAGGGCCTCAAGCGCAGTGCGCTCAGCAGCTCCCTCAGGGACCTCTCGGAGGCAGGTGAGAGCTCAGCCTGGAGCCCCCGAGCCAGGCAGCGCGTGTGCACGGAGGCCGGGCCGGCTGCAGCCCGGGCATGCACTACGCTCCGGGAAGGGCCTGGGTGTCACCCAGCAGTGGCGGTCTCCGGGGCCCCCCAACCAAGGCAGCATCCGAGCATGCAGTGTCCTCGAGACAGAGGCAGACGGGACCGAAGGTGCGGCGGCCTGTTTGCTTTGCCCTCAGAGGCCTTGCTTGGCTTTCTGAAGTCGCCATGCGACGGGAGCAGGCGGCGCTGTGTGTACTGTGCTGTGCGCCCCGCGTCTCATGCTGATGGATGAAACTGCGTGAGGCCCTCGGCCGGCTGGGGAGCCCCCATCCCTGTCCCCGTCTTGCTTCCTCTGCAGGAGCTTCCTTCCCGGGAAACCCGGGCCTCCACCAGCAGCTGGCCCTGGGTTTGGGGAGAGCCTGGCGGGGACTGCCCCCTCGTTGTCTGTGTGTGTCCTACCTGCTGCTAGCCCTTATCCCCCAAGCAAGTGGCCCAGCTGGCCTCCCGTGTCCAGTGAGGGCCCCAGCTTTCCACTAGGCTGGGCGGGAGGAGCAGAGGGGTGCGGGCAAGCTGGGCAGCCTGAGTGCCTGCAGCCGGCCGTACCTGCTGGTGCAGTCCCAGGAGCTGGGCAAGAGACTGGGCTCCACAGGCCAGCACACCTGTCACTTCTCCACGGAGCGACACAGGGCGGCCCTCGCCACCAGGCCTGCTCCAGGCCCGGAGCTGCTAGGACCCAGCCCACGTCTCCCCGCAGCTCTGCCTCACTGCGGCCTACCCAGTTCTCAGGACATTCTTGAAGTGGGATTTTTTTCCTTTGCTTTTGTTCTACCGTTGTTTTGTTTGGGGTTATTTGTTTTCTATTTTTGTTACTTTTCACAGTGAACCACTCCATTGCCAGCAGTAGATTAGCCCCGGGCTTGTCAGTCTTGGTGCTGTCCACCTTGTGGGCAAGCACCTCCTTACTGTGGGCAGGCCTGGCCGTGTGGCCTCACCACTAGATTCCTATAACCGCCTGCCATGAGATCGGCGCATCAGCGTCTCCCAAACCTGGGGAACAAAGTGCCCCAAGAAGCCCTAGCATCCCCGAGGCCCAGAGAAGACTGGCATGCTCCCATTGACTGCCCGAACCGCGGGCTGGGTGTGAGTCTGTGCAGCGGGCAGGCTCGCCTCCCCTCCGCTCCCCTCCCCGATGAAGCCCTGGAGGGCCTGGCCAGGGCCTGGCCAGGTGTGAGTCTGTGCAGCCGGCCACCTCTCCTCCCCTCCCCGATGAAGCCCTGGAGGGCCTGGCCAGGGCCTGGCCAGGTGTGAGTCTGTGCAGCCGGCCACCTCTCCTCCCCTCCCCGATGAAGCCCTGGAGGGCCTGGCCAGGGCCTGGCCAGGTGTGAGTCTGTGCAGCCGGCCACCTCTCCTCCCCTCCCCGATGAAGCCCTGGAGGGCCTGGCCAGGGCCTGGCCAGGTGTGAGTCTGTGCAGCCGGCCACCTCTCCTCCCCTCCCCGATGAAGCCCTGGAGGGCCTGGCCAGGGCCTGGCCAGGTGTGAGTCTGTGCAGCCGGCCACCTCTCCTCCCCTCCCCGATGAAGCCCTGGAGGGCCTGGCCAGGGCCTGGCCAGGTGTGAGTCTGTGCAGCCGGCCACCTCTCCTCCCCTCCCCGATGAAGCCCTGGAGGGCCTGGCCAGGGCCTGGCCAGGTGTGAGTCTGTGCAGCCGGCCACCTCTCCTCCCCTCCCCGATGAAGCCCTGGAGGGCCTGGCCAGGGCCTGGCCAGGTGTGAGTCTGTGCAGCCGGCCACCTCTCCTCCCCTCCCCGATGAAGCCCTGGAGGGCCTGGCCAGGGCCTGGCCAGGTGTGAGTCTGTGCAGCCGGCCACCTCTCCTCCCCTCCCCGATGAAGCCCTGGAGGGCCTGGCCAGGGCCTGGCCAGGTGTGAGTCTGTGCAGCCGGCCACCTCTCCTCCCCTCCCCGATGAAGCCCTGGAGGGCCTGGCCAGGGCCTGGCCAGGTGTGAGTCTGTGCAGCCGGCCACCTCTCCTCCCCTCCCCGATGAAGCCCTGGAGGGCCTGGCCGGGTGTGAGTCTGTGCAGCAGCGGGGCAGGCCCATCTCCCCTCCCCTCCCCTCCCCTCCCCGATGAAGCCCTGGAGGGCCTGGCCGGGTGTGAGTCTGTGCAGCAGCGGGGCAGGCCCATCTCCCCTCCCCTCCCCTCCCCTCCCCAAGGACGCCGCGAAAGGCC